CTTCGAGACGACGGAACTGATTCCCGGAGCACTTGGTGAAGGCTTCGAGACGACGGAACTGATTCCTGAAGCACTTGGCGAAGGCTTCGAGACGATAGAGCTAATTCCCGAAGCACTTGGCGAAGGCTTCGAGACGAGAGAGCTGATTCCAGAAGCACTTGGCGAAGGCTTTAGAGGCGGAAGGGCCACAGATGGAACTGGGGTCACAGTGAGGATTACGGTGCTGACAGCAGGTACGCCTCCTATATCGTGGCCACGGTGGCGGTCGTGGTGATCGTCATGGTGAGGATCATGGTGAGGATTATGGTGAGGATTACGGTGAGGGTCATGGTGAGGATTATGGTGAGGATCATAGTGGGGATCATAGTGATGATCCTGGTGATGGCCATGGTGATGGGCGTATGTTCTGCTGAGATAAACACCCAGCAAAAGAAGGGAATGGTACTTCATGATGGCAAAATGAATGACTGTAAAAGAGTGACTGAAACGAAAGACTTGACGATAGAGAAAGCTAGAATAGCACTGCACATATGGAGTGACATGAGTAGGAATATATGGCATGGCTCCTCTTCCGCCCCTGGCTCTCATATGATGCCTTAGCAATCATAGATTGATTGACTCTACCTTGAGTAATCACATCTTCTACCTCTTCGCCGCAGCTCTTCCATAGGCCTTCATGTGCTCGAGCTGATAATGCGGTCCATTATTGGGTTTATATTAAGTACTTTTCTGAAGAAGGAATCCCTAATTGGTTTCCAGGCCTTGGGCAGTATTAGATGCTATTCTCGGCTGATGAGCCGACAGGTCTGGTTAGTTTAAAGGACCTCAAGGCGCCGAGTGACCCGGCGCAAAACCCTATAAACCCAACATCACGATGCTAGGAGTAGCCCCCGAGTGTGGCCATCGTCGCTTCACCGTGAACGCTAAGACGAAGTACAAGCTGCACCTGGTATAGGGTGAAGTGATGCTGGTGTTTCTGCCGTGATCCGATTTGCTCAATGAACGTGGATGTTAGCATTCAATTTGAAGCCTGGCTTAAGGCCAATATATCTGACGCCGGCGCGCAAGTATAATAGAAAATGAGGTACCTCGGCAGGGTCATAGAGATATTATAACTCACTCAGCGTCGATAAAGCTCTGGAAGACTTGGACTAGGTTGAATAATAAATAAAAGTAGTTGAGAGGTATTTGAATCCAAGCAACCCTTCGCAAGCGGTCAAATAGACAACAAGGCATGAGGCAATGCAAAGCTGAGTGGCTCGGCGAACCTAGGTGGGTACATGGTACTCAACCTAACTGAATCTCCAATCCCTGTTAATCGAATGATGAAAATATATTTAGCGATATTGTACTTCCATACCTCATCTGCCCGTTCCTGCAGCTGGGGACATTAGAATGGGAGTGGTCAGCCAATTTCATTTATCTTACCGTATCGGAAACAGATCCGAGCGATCGAGATGATGTACCAACATATGCTCTCCAGACAAACTAGGCGACCGAATTGTAGCACATAATCTAGCCGATCGCCTGGTGGGTCGAATCGCGGTGCCGGCATGCGGCAATAATATCATCCAAACCGACCAGTACATTAAACGCATCCACACCAGAAACTGCAGAGTTCCCTTGACGGGCAAGCCCGTCTTCTCATACGAGAGATAGTTCGCCGTCTGCCAATAGTTGGAGGTTCCGCTCATGCTCCATCCGTGGGACTACAGTCAATCATTACGATAGATCTAGTTCGGCGAGAAGTCGAGAAGTCGAGAAGTCGGAAGAATGTGCCCATCCAACGGAGACACTACCCATAGAAAGTGGCAGCGCTTCTTTCGATAGGTAGACCGTAGTCAATGCTCTCCCCAGCTAATATAACCTCGAGACAGGAACATTCAAAATGCGTCCTCGACGTCTAAACTCTAGGTGAATAAGTAATTGATGAGAAAAAGTTGGATGAGAAAAAAGTCGAGAAGATAACACCCAAACTACGGTCTGGCTTATACAGTCCGCCGGGTGAAAGTTCACCGCCATATCACGTGAAATTGCTGGAGTATCAACTTTTTTTCCACGCCTCTTCAATGGATGATGTTCAACGATCAAAAATCATAATATTCGACCACAATATCCGGAGCCATGCCTCCAAAAACCAAGCGGCTGTCTCGCCCGAAGAGTAAAATCCGCGAAAAGAAAGAGCATGGAAATGGCAACCGTCACCGGTTTCAGAGTTTTACAAGACGCATTGCGAACATCAGCATCGATCCCATCCGATCCACCCGAAATGAGCGGTTGGAAATTGACTCTGATGACACCAGTTCTTACTTCAGGACTTCTCTCGAACGATGGGAAGATATAAATCTTTCCGGAAACTTCACAAACTTTTCTCAGAAAGTTCGACCTCTATCCCAGACACTACCCCAGATTCTCCATCATGAAAAAGAGATACACGAGCTGCTCCTCGAGCATATTGGTCTAGGAGACACCTTATCTCTTGAACCATTGCTTTCCCTAGTCTCTAGCTTTGCCCGGGATTTGGGAGTCAGATTCGAAAAGTACTTCCCAACGACCGTGAATGCGGTTGCTGGACTTGTGCTCCGTCACAATGCTGTTGAAGTCATTGAGTGGAGCTTTATGTGCCTTGCTTGGCTGTTCAAATTCCTCTTTAGGGTCCTTATCGAGGATATCAAGACTGTCTTTGACCTCATGGAACCCCTACTTGGCGCGTCTCATGAGAAACCGTTCCTCTCTCGATTTGCTGCAGAAGCTCTGAGTTTTCTCATTCGAAAAGCTGCTTCTAGTCGCAAAGAGGAGCACAAAGCTCTGAATGCCATAGTTCAACACTCTCTTGAGTCAGCTGCCGAGGCTGACCCACCGTCAAAAACCTTCCAAGGCGGTCTAATTGTCCTCTATGTCGAGTCTATCAAGGGCATACAGGACAGAGTCCATCTTAACGGTCCCACTATTCTACATGAGTTGGTGACTGTTGCCGTCGAGTTGTCAACTGACACCTTCCGCACGCACTTGATGACCGACATCATTTCCGGAATCTTTGTGGAGATATCACCCGAACTCTGTGCGGAGGCACATGCCTCACTGATCAGCGTCATCCTGGAAATTGCGCAAGCAAAAGAATTCACCTTGACCCAATGGAAATTCCTTGTCAACTTGCTATTTTCCGCAATCTCCGTCTGCCGCGATCGTTCGGAGGTTGACTGGAAAGGTGTCTTTCAATGCATCGATCTCTCGATGTCGTTTGTCGAGGGCAATGGTGTAAACCACGCGGATATTGCACCGGATGTCCTCGGTCTTTCGGTTCTCGCGTTGCAACGCTGTCCATTGGACGTCATGTTGATACGATCGAAGCAGCTAGACCGTTTGATCCGCGAGCCATGGGCAGCATACTTTGTTGCATTCTGCGAGTTCTTTGCAAAGTTCGGCATTGAACGATTCGACGGTTTCTTGCTTGCTCTATTTCAACGATTCGTCACCGAGCAATGGAACGCCTACGAGACAGGGATTTGCTCCTCGTTGCTTAATATCCTACCGAGATTAAGCGGTCAAGGGCGGCCTATTGTCATTCCACAAGCGTGGAAGAATAGGATGTGCTCTTTCTTCAATACCCTTTGCTCAGCTGAGACTGACGATCCATCATTTCAATCTCAACTTTGGCTCTGCAATGTATTCCTCGAGCTCCCCTCTCAGCAACGACTAAATCTGGATATCGAGAAGCATTTGACGAAGACCCTTCGAAACCTGTTGCTTCGAACCCTCAAGCACACTAAAGATTCGATGCGTTCGGATTTACGTTTGTTCTCTCTTGGCAACGCTCACAAATGCCTTTTATCGGCGGATTCCTCCACTCCTCACGATGATTGGGCCTCCATTTGTGAAATGGCGCCCAGCGTTGCATTCGCACCTGCATTCTGGGAAGCAATGAGCATGCGCTGCCGAAGCGGTTGCCGCTTGAGTGATCTCACCGAAGCCCAGGTCGATCGATTGGCAGATTCTATGAAGATGGCCTTGTCAGCACCATCTCGTTCGCTACGCAACTGTTGTCTCGATACACTGGGACTGCTTTGTGCGGGCGAAACCCCTCTCGTTCCAATCATTGATGCTCTACAATCCATCGAATCCGCTCCTGTCTCGATCGATACAGGTAGAGCTGTCGGAATTCCAATACGAAAGCTGGCTACTTTGTACAGCGCCGCCTCCTCACATCCCCTTCTCAAAGTCTGTATTCCTGCCTACTGCTTCGGACTGTTGACTGTCCATTTCGCCCCTATATGGGAAGACATTCTCAAAACTTTGAGAGCAATCGTCGAATCGAAAGAGGGAGAGCTTGTGGTATCGCAGATCTCATTTGAGTGGCTGCGAGGGCCGGACCAGGGCAACGCTATTGAGGCCGAACCAGATGAAGATGAAGAACAAGAAGACGATTGGATCCTCCCGCATCATGGGAATACGTTTCTCGAGAGGACCGTCAAATCGTTCGAAAAGTCCTTTCACCAGGAGAAGCACGCCGAAGAACACCTTCGAACCATTTTCAAACAAGCGCATGACATCAACCCCGATTCAACCATCTCGCGCCAAGAACAAGCCTTGCGAGTTTTCAATGCAGTACCGCATATGGCTGAGAAGAGGTCGCGAGAATTGGTCCCTTTCCTGATGAAATGGACCGAGACTCTGTCCCAAGTGAACGCAGACGAAATCACTCAAGATGACGAAGCTGAGCAGGAGCAGGATTCCTTGGACATTACTCTGGATGTCAAGGAACGGAAGTCGCTCCTCTCACTCTTCAGTAAATTCAAAAATCCGAAAGCGTTGTACCAATCGTCCGAAGTTCACGGAGCTCTATCAACACTTCTCACGGTTGGAGATTCCGACATCCAACGAAGCGCAATGAAGGCTCTGATGACCTGGAAATCACCAAGCTTACTGAAGTATCAAGAGGCACTCTTTGACCTCATTGACGATGCCAAGTTTAAGGATCGCATCACCATCTTCCTGGGAAACGTCGACGACGACTCCGCTCTGCAGCCCACAGATCGACCTGTGGTTATGCCGATAGTGCTCCGGCTACTTTACGGAAAAGCCATCACCAAATCAGGAACGCGCAGTGCTGCCAACCGTCCGGAAAACAAACGACGTGCCATATTTGGCGCATTGACGAGATTTCCGGCCGAAGATTTGCTGGAGTACATTCGGATTTGCTTTGGCCCCTTGAGAGACGTCAAGTTGTTCCAAGGTGACGATGTGGACCAAGATGTGCTCAACGAGGACGTTCTAGACATACGACGGCAGCAAGGCGTGCTCACAATGCTGAGGGATCTGCTGGCTTTCCTTGGATCGTCGGCGGAGTCAGTTGCAGCGGATGTTGTTGAGCCAATTCTTTACTGCCTCCTCAGATCTTACCCTTCATCATCAAACAACGCGGCATCCCCGGAGAGGCAAAAGGTTGTACGCAGTATTTCATACAAATGCTTGGCGATGTTGTTCGAGCATGGAACTGGAATCGACTGGACCAAATATGTTCCTATCATTCTCAGCACCGCTGTGTTTGATAGAGATGTCAGTTTCGCGGGCGAACAAGCTCAGGCTGTCTCGGGTCTATTGCAACTTGTCGGACTATTCTACGGCAACTCAGCAACGGCGTGCTTCCTCTCTCAGGAATATCCCAGCATGCTGAAAAGTGTTGTTGACTGCTTGACAACCCCGAACGCGAAGGCCGAAGTGCAAGTGTTTGTCCTTTCTCAAGTTTTGGACGGCCTAGCCGAACTCGCCTCCGAAAGCGGCTTGCAAAGCCAAACGATCCAGGAATCACTGCTTCGCGATGTTGACTACGCGCTCGATTCCATTGCTGCGATTATCGAGAAGGGATCCGAGCAGCCGGTCTTGGAGGCAAGTCTAAGCACGCTCGTCACATTCTCGGGCTTGGTCCGCACCCAAAAGAGCGCCGAAAAGCTAGTTATGCTGGTGTCAAGTCTGCTGGAACAGCCGAAAGGACAACTGAATCAGAAGGTCAAGACGGATCTGCTGAGGATTCTACACCATTTCATTCCCCGGACTCAGATGGATGCAGCTTCCGATGAGTTTGAACGGCTATATCGTATCATTTCCTCCATCTTCGGTGACCCAGGAAAGCCCGAAATACGACTGCTTCTGTGCGACGTGGTGGATGATCTATCTCAAATCAATGATTCCCTGGCAGGAATCAGCACTATATGCCGCGAGCTAAACAGTGTGGAGTACCGGAACTTGAGCGAACCGGATTTCACCAAAAGACTCGGAGCGTACCATCAAGTCAACGAGACTCTGTATTCCTCATTGACCACATTACAATGGCTTCCAATCCTTTACAATGCACTCCACTTTCTGAAAGTTCCCGATGAGCTATCTATCCGAGCCAGCGCTTCACTCACCGTACGACGATTCATTGAAGTCTCAGGCACCAAATCAGAGGAAGAATGTGCTGCCTATAAATGCCAGGTCGAGAGCGTTATCCTTCCAGACCTCATCAAAGGCCTTCGGGCCCATGATGAGCAAGTCCGCGCAGAATTTGTTGGCTTGCTTGGAGTAATGGTCGCCAAGTATCCCTCAGGATCTAGTGTGAGCTCACTCGGACCACTTCTGATGAATGGCGATGAGGAGGCGTCCGTTTTCGCCAACATTCTCCACATCCAACACCATAGGCGTCTACGAGCCATGCGTCGTATGGCCGAGCAAGCCCAGACAGGGCAGTTCACCACCTTCGTTGTCAGCCAAGTCCTCATTCCACTCATGGAGAGCTTTGTGCTTGATAAGACTACTGCTGAGAATCACCACAACTTGGTCACTGAGGCTATTATAGCCATCAACTCGCTTGCGGCATGGTTGGCTTGGTCTCAGATGCGGGCGATACTTCAGAAACATTGCGGTCGCTTGAAGGCACCTGAGGCAAAAACGAAGACACTCACCCGGCTGATCTCGTCTTATTTGGACTCCCTAAGCCGCTCCGCTTCAAAGTTGAAGAAATCTGAGGATGCTGCTGACGGGGATGTTGACATGAGCGACGCCGTTGAGACTGCCTTGTCGAAATCAATCACGAGCCCTACAAAGTTCCGTCGCGACCTCACAGATGGCGTTCTACCGCCACTATACCAATTCCTCCACAAGCAAGACGAAGACACGGTTCAGTCCCGTATGATACTTGCACCATGTTACGCCAAGACCATCAAACTGTTAACGGATGATGAATTCGAACAGAAGCTGGTTTCGCTACTTTCTGAAGTATCCGCGGTGCTTCGGAGCAAATCGGCCGACACTCGAGATACTGCACGGAAAGCGATTGCGGATATCGTCACCGCATTGGGACCTCAATCCGTTGGCTTTGTCATCAAGAGTCTCAACTCCACTCTTCAGAGAGGCTATCAACGCCATGTCTTCTCATTCACAGTGCACACTCTCCTTGTGATACTGATACCCACTATATCCGCTGGTGATCTCGACTACTGTCTTGAAGACCTAGTCAACGTGATGATGGACAGTACGTTTGGCGCAGTCGGAGAGGAGAAGGAATCAGAAGACTACATCAGTCAAATGAAGGAGGTGAAGAGCAACAAGAGCTTTGACGCGATGGAGATTGTGTCGAAGATTTGCACGCAGTCAAGTATCGCAAGTCTGATCCAGCCACTCCGCGTATTGCTGACGGAAAACCTTCCGCTGGCCATGATTCGGAAAGTGGACGAATTTCTCCGCCGCATTGGACTTGGTATCATGCAGAATCCCGCACTCTCAGACCGAGGCATCTTGATTTTCTGCTTCGAGATCCTACAGCAACCCACCAAGCAGGCAGCCGGCGCACGGCGAGCCTCCCTGCTGTATAAGCTCGTCCGCTTCGGGCTCGACTTGCTTCGATCCGTCCTTCAAAAGCACCCAAACTTGAAGACGCCCGAGAATCTTTCCGGATTACTGCCGCCAATCTGCGACTCGATTCTGGCATCACACGAAGAGGTTCAAATGTCCGCAATGCGACTTGCAGCATCGATAATCGCGGCCCCCCTTCCACGACTCGCCACCGATGCGCCAGTATTCGTGGCAGAAGCCGTCCGCATCGTGGAGGGTGCCCCAAATACTGGCACTGAACTTTCTCAAGCCGCCCTCAAGCTCATTGTTGCCGTATTGAAGGACCGAAAAGATGTGATGGTCAAAGAGAAGCACATTGCGCATATTTTGAAGCGTATTCGGACCGACATTGAAGAACCAGAGCGACAAGGTGTCATGTTCAGCTTGCTCAAAGCCGTCACTGGCCGTAAGATGGTAATGCCTGAGCTCTACGAAGCCATGGATACCGTGGCGAGAATCATGATCACGAACCAGACAAAGTCAACCCGAGCCATGGCAAGGTCGACCTACTTCCTGTTCTTGACGAATTGTCCGCAAAGCAAAGACCGATTCTCCAAGCAAGTTCAGTTCCTCGTCAAGAACCTCCAATATCAATACGAGGAAGGTCGAGAATCCACGATGGAGTTGATGCATCTTGTATTGACGAAGCTTGGAGAGGACCTAGTCCAGCAGGTCATCAAGTCGGCTTTTGTGCCCCTTGTGATGGTCATCATCAACGACGAGTCCGAGAGTTGCCGGGCGATGGCAGGAATTCTACTCAAAGAAGCGATGCAGCGCGCGGAATCCGAGCAGAGGTCCACAACTGTACGCCTACTTCAAGACTGGCTCAGCCAGAGTGAGTCCGATGCCTTGCGACATGCTGCCCTCCAAATCTGGGCTCTGTGGTTCGAGGTCATCGGCGATGACAACCGAGATGTTGGTCCTTTCCTCAGTTGGATGGCGGAATTTCTCAGCGATCCTACGACGATGTCCGATCGCGACAACTGGGAAACCATCTATTTCTCCCTGCAGACGTTCGAAAAGTTTTGCACCATTGCTCCTCAGCGTGCGTTTTCTTCCAAGACTAAGCCCGTGTGGGAGGCGATGCAGCAGTGTCTTTGGTTCCCTCACCAATGGGTCAAGGGGATGGCCGCGAAGCTAATTGGGTTATACCTGGATCAGTATTTCCGGACCAAGGTATCGAACGAAAAGGCGGGCACGGAAAAGAGTGCTCCTTCGTTTGATCTTGGTGACGACGAGCTCATCGGGTTGACCAAGTCACATCTAAGGGCATTTGAGTCGCCTGAGCCAGCCGATGAGCTGTTGAAGTACTGCTCCCGGAATCTGCTGGCTCTTGCCCGTCTCGTTGCTCAAACCCAGGTCCCTCTCGTTTCCCGCCGGTCATTGGCGCAAAAAGAAGAGCAAGAATTAGAAAACGATGAGTCGGAGTCCGAGGAAGTCGAGCAGGCTAGCAGGAGTATCCCAGGCGCAAGTCTGATATTCTCGCGCCTCGCCTACGTTGTCCGCAGAGAAGGACCAGGAGGACTACTCCCAACCATCCGGGTGAAGAAGGCCGCGATCGACCTAATGGCATCTCTATGTGAGACGCTCGACAAAGATGTCCTTTCCGAATCCATCCATGTCTTCCTCCCATCGCTCTACAACATGACGGACCCCAGCCAACCGAAAGCAAAATCTTTGAACGTCACGTACAACCAACTCCTGACGGAAACCATCAATACCAGCCAGGGCATCATGAGCGGGTTGCAGAAGAAGCTTGGGACGACGGAGTATGTGAGACATTATCAGAAGGCGAAGGAGGCGGCGGCCCAGAGGCGAGAGGAGAGGAGAGTCAAGCGGAAGTTGGATGCGGTGAATGATCCTGAGGCCCATGAGCGAATGAAACGGAAGAAGCGGGAGACGTCGAAGGCTCGGCAGAAGGAAGTGAGCATGGAGTATAGGGGGAGGAGAAGGGGTTGGTAAAAGGAATTGAGCATGGAGTATCGGGTAGGAAAAGGGGTTGGTAGTGGCGGAGCGGATCTTGTATAATAGATGAATTTTCAATCGTACCGGTAATATGATATCAGTCCACAACAATATGGAACCAACAAAGCCAATTTGGACCAATGATGTTGATATAGTTCGGACATAACAGTCAATAGTAGAAGTATAGAATTGCAAATCTTGCAAGGAGTCGTCTAGAAACATATTCTACAGGGCTTTTATATAGGTATCGTCTTACATAGCGTCTATACAACCAAACCCAGGCTAGACATCATGTCTCCCGAGCTGAACGCCTGCGCGCATCTGCGCGTCTCGGTAGCTATTAGTATACAGAAGACACAATTCTTCTTCTTCATGCCCATAACTGAGTGGAGAGTCGTATCAGAGTCCGCAGACCATCGCCTCCGTGTCGTCGTCAACACGAACGCGCTTGTGAATCATGGCCTCGCGGCGTCGCCAGATATTATGACACATCTGCGCTCACACGCAGTTCCCGCAGTGAACATAAACATTCCCCCTCCATGCCCCCCCACTACGATGCGAGAATCTTTGCGATGTTTTGTTCCGCGAAGTTCTGTTGAGCGCCCGAGGAATACGTCGTGGCCTGCCGACGGCACATGTTTCTCGCCTGGCCAGCGACCGACACCACATGCTCATTTGTAAAGCTCGATATCGCCATCCGGTTTCAAAACACCGCGTTTCAAGAGCTCGCCTTTGTCGCTCAGGATATCCTCTATGGTGATGCGGGAGTCCGAGAAGATCTGTCATGACCCGAAATCAGCTAATGTTCTTCCGCAGGATCACGAAGCCTTTTCGCAGACGATGGCTGCTTACCTTCAGGTGATCGCAGATGAGGTGGCGATTCTTGCACCCGGGACATGTCACCAGCACCGTCCCATGGTGGTAGCCCTGCTTTGACACTCGATGCGTGGACCGAGTGGTGCATTTCTTGCAGGTGAAGGTCATATCGTATGACGGAACGTCCTTCTTGGGCTCAGCTTCCTCATCGCTCACGGCTGGTGCCGAGCTAGGCGGTTCCGTCAAAGGTGCCCGCTGGTCCCGAAGGCTCCTGGCGGTCGAGAAACTGCTCTTCCACGCAGCGACAGAAGAAGTACGCCACAACGAGGCCCTCGCAGACGATCGAAGGACCGTCGATGGTATCCGCAGAGGAGCGGATGCGTATCCTTGATGCCATGATGGCAAAAGCGTGCGGATGCCACGAGCTGCCGGTAGCCTCTGCATTCTTCCAGGAGTATTATCGACGTGACACGGGTATATCAGAAAGGACTCAAAGGCCAATACGAAGTTTTGTCATCGTCGTCACTTTACAAAGAACTTGGGACTAAACTCAAAGCGGGCGTAAGTCGCGATGATCCTTGTTCGCGGGCGGCCCCACGTTCACTCCCGCTCTCAGCGTTCATTCATTCTTCGTTCAATCCAATCCGCCATTCCATGGTTACCTGCCTCCGCAACCACTTCTTCATTGCCTCACTTCTCTGAACCTTTCCTAAACGGCTCCAACTTCGTGTAGAATGTCTAGTGCATCACTCCGTGTTCTCAACCTGGAGGATTCGCTCTGACTCTTTTCCATTCCCCGTCACCACCGTATATCTCTCAGCTTCCACCCCCAAATTCGCCGCTAAACGTTAAAGAAGTAGCGATTCACTTGTCCCACGAGTCGACGTGATGATCGCCAGCCGTGGGGCTAGGAAGATAAAGCCTCCGCGAAAGGTATACGATCCTTCTTTCCCGCTTCCATTTGCTTCCCACAGAGTTATATATTACACCATGGCGGGACTGTTGGCTCACTTTGAATCCGTGCCTATACAGAACATCCAAGGCGACGATGTCGACCTCGAGCCGACATGGGTCACATTGTCGGACTCTTTCCGCGAAATCCATACTCAGAATGCCTCTCAGTTGTCATATGAGCAGCTCTACCGCCATGCCTACGTCTTGGTCCTCAAGCGCAAAGGAGACCAGCTCTACAAGCGGGTCATCGATTTCGAACACGACTGGCTGAGCGAAGATATCCGTCCGAGACTGCACACCCTCGCATCGTCGGCGCTTCTCAGTTTTGAGGAGTATGACACGAAGACGGTCAATGAGCGGAGAGTCAGCGGAGAGTTGTTGCTGAAGGGAGCAACCAAGGCATGGGATAACCATCAGACGTGCATCAACATGTTGGCGGATGTTCTGATGTATTTGGTATGGTACCGTGCCCCACGGTACAATTATTCGTGCTAATGGTACTTCTAGGATCGTGTCTACTGCCGTGAGCAACGCCGAACCCCCATTTTTGAGGCCTGCATGGAGCTCTTCCGTGACACCGTTCTCAAGTGGCTCGTCACCAAAGGCGAAGACGGAATGGACCTACTGGATGTATTATCGACGATCATTCTCGACCAAGTGCGCATGGAGCGCGATGGGGACACCATCAACAAGCACTTCATCCGGTCTTGTGTTCACATGATGGAAAGCTTGAACGAGTCGAACACCGACGGACAGGAGACACGCCTCTACGTTACCCGCTTTCAGCCCAGGTTTCTCAAAGCCAGCACAGAGTTCTATCGAGAGGAATCCGAGAGGCTGATTCGCGAAAATGATGCCGGGACCTACTGCCGCTGGGCGAGTCGCCGCATTCGGGAAGAGGAGGATCGGTGTCGATCAACCCTGTCGGAGTCCACAACCGATAAGATCAGGAGAGTGGTCGAAGATGAGCTGATCCGAAACAAGATAGCAGAGGTCATTGCGATGCCGAATGGCGTGAAGTTCATGAGTGACAACAACCGCATCGAAGAACTGAGCCTAGTCTATAATCTTAATGCACGAGTCGATTCCAAAAAGACGGAATTGATTACGGCAATCCAGAAACGGGTCGCACAAATGGGTGATGAGATCAACAGGGCTGCTCTTGCAGCCTCCCATACACCTCCCGCGCCAGCTCCTGGATATTCGGATGGATCGACGAAGTCTGGCGAACGGGTTGTCAATCAACATACCGCGGCTGCAATGAAATGGGTAGAGGATGTGCTGCAGCTTAAGGACAAATTCGACACGATCTGGCGCCTCTCGTTCGCTTCGGACCAGGCTCTACAAGCGGCATTGAGCAAGGTGTTCAGTGAGTTCATCAATGCCGCCACTTTCCCGCGTGGCACGGAATACATTTCTCTCTTCATCGACGACAACATGAAGAAGGGAATCAAAGGCAAGACAGAGCACGAAGTGGACCTGGTGCTGGATAAGGCGATCACTCTCCTTCGCTACGTTCAAGATAAAGACATGTTCGAGAAGTACTACAAGAAGCATCTCAGCCGTCGACTCCTCATGAACAAGTCCGTCAGCAACGACGTGGAGAAGCAAATGATCTCCCGGATGAAGATCGAGCTCGGCAACAATTTCACCTCGAAGCTGGAGTCGATGTTTAAGGACATGACCGTTTCGGAAGAGCTGAGCAATGGCTACAGGGCATACGTTGACAAGCTTGGAGACTATGACCCTGCGCGAGTCGACCTCTCGATGCATGTCCTCACGGCCACCGTTTGGCCACTGGATCACATGAGCGGCGCACTTGATCGCGACCCGAATAAGCAGGACAAGGCGCAAGGGCCGATCTTCCCTCCCGAGATTGAGCGGGTGAAGAAGGGGTTCGAAAAGTTCTACTTGAACCGACATTCCGGTCGGGTCCTCTCCTGGCTCGGTGGCATGGGCACCGCCGACATTCGCGCCGTCTTCCCTAAGGTTCCCACGAAGGATGGTCTGCGGGAACGCAAACACGAACTCAATGTCTCCACCTATGCGATGATCATCCTCCTCCTATTCAACGACCTCAGCGAGAACGAGGCGCTCACCTACGAGGAGATCGAGGCGCGGACGAACATTCCGCCCCACGAACTCACGCGAAACCTGCAGTCCCTGTCCTTGGCGACGAAGACGCGGATCCTCCTGAAGGAGCCGATGACCCGAGACATCAAGCCGACCGATCGCTTCAAGTTCAATGAGGGCTTTTCCGGCAAATTCATCCGCATCAAAGTCGGCGTCGTATCGGCGGGGAATAGAGTCGAAAATGACAAGGAGCGCCAGGACACGGATGACTCGGTGCGGCAGATGCGGGCTCACTACATCGAGGCGACGATCGTTCGCATTATGAAGTACGTACCTATCTCCTTTTCTAATATTTAGGCTGTTGTGAATAACCGAACTAACCTGTATAATCAGGCAACGCAAGACCTGCGCTCATCTCCAACTGATCAGCGAGACTATCTCGCAGCTCGCCTCCCACTTCAAGCCCGAGGTGACCATGATCAAGAAGCGCATAGAGTCGCTCCTCGACAAGGAGTATCTCGCCCGCATGCCGGAGGATGATTCGATGTACAAATACATCACCTGATCCCCGGCCCATCCTCATGTGCCCACTACCCATCCTTTCCTTCTTCTTAACGCTTGACGTTCGCCGACAACGCGTATTGCATCATCCACGGCGTTTCTTTGGTTTTATTTCCCGAGTAGCAACACTTCCAGAAAGGGTCCCTCGCGAGGTCACCATCTTTCGGGCGCGTTCGGATTCGGCATATGGCGGTGGTGTACGGTGGCCACAGGCCCGGCGTCCGACTATTTTTCGGTCACGGATGGATGGACCTCTCACTCGATAGGAAGGAAGCAAGCATGGTTTTATTGATCGCTCGGCTCTGGGGATGGGGGGAATACTGGTGCGCTCAGGAGCGAAAGCAACTACCCATTTGGGCGTTGAAGCGATACATGAGCTGCTAGCGTTAGCATTGATAGCTCTCTCGGATGGCGGGATCAGTCTATAGATTCTGCTGCAGCAGTGGAATCACCTCAATACAATCAAAAGTCATTATACTTTCCGCGGCGCCTTTGGGTGCGCCGCGTCCGATCTTCTTTCCATTTCTTATCGTAGGGGCGATGGTCTTTCGACTATCGCATCATTGCCTGCCGAGCCCGCTTTCACTATTCTCCTCAGCTACTCAATATCTACTATCTACAGACTACAACTAACGCCATGCGCTAAGCGCCCATTGTAGTGGCTCTAACAACCTCCAGTATCATGATAACTGTTGACCAGTGCTGCCCCCCTGTCATATCCGATATCTAAGTCTTAAGCAGGGCTATGCTGGTGAGGACCTGCCCGACCTGGGGAACTAGCCCGACACGTGGGAACATTCTGAGACTATCGCGGAGTAAATTAAGTGGCGTCTTAATGCTTATAGAGTGTGGACAGCATCCGGCATCCGGGTGAATGGCAAATTGACAATTAGCAACACAAGCGACCACGCGATACTTTCTCACTGCGGGAAGCTTGGTCCCGATGAGGTTCCAAGTTCCAACACAACAGAAGTTCCAACACGAGCCATGCGCTTTGACGAGACACACCCAGCCTCTCCCGCAAGAATCAAGAGTCAAATACTGTCAAAGCGCGATGGAGCAATGGTGATTATCATCAAGATGCTGGTTAAAGTGTCCTGAGAATTCTCAGGTTTCTAGACGGGGTTTCGAAGGTTATTTTTCCTTTGCGCTTTCATTATCGTGCCAAGACACCTCGTAGAATTGATATCTCCGCTACTAGTAGTCGAGCAATCAATCCCTTCCCTGTGGCGCCCGACTATCTTAGGCGCACCTCTGCTTCATTGTTGGGACTTTAGTGTGTCATTGATGCATCCTTTGCTGCCGCTCACATCTTTGAGGAGACAATCCAATCGCTTACCTTAAAAGCAAGGCACTGCAAGAATGGCGACTTCCTCTGCTGTTGATGTTCTGGACTACGGATTCGGAACCAGGCTCCTACTACAATACTTCTCTAGGAAGAAGCCGACCGCACCCCTACACCTTCATTTTCCCGCAATTACATTATGACGGAAGTTGATCCGCTAGGACTGAATGCATTTGAAGAACAAGTCCAAAGACTAGGAGATGTGAACAAACGAGGGGAGACAACAACTCGCGTGAACTACAAATCAGTGATAAAGAGATGGGAAATGTAAGCTCTGTGGGCATGGCAATGAGCACCAGCCGACTAACGGAATCGCTAAGGTTCTGCAAGTATCGAAATTATTCCGGATCCTCAGACGACCGGCTGACGATAGCAACGAACTTCGATATTATCGTTTTCTTGGCGTACATTATGGAGATCGATCGGATCGGGACGCCCGTAACATGGAACAACTATTTCACTCCATTCGGCGCGATTCGACATCAGAGGTTCCCGGACGTAGTTCGGTGGACCGCGGCGCAACGAAAACTACTGTAGGTACATATGCGACGGACTTCGGTGTAACTGTAACTGAGCTGAACTGGTTTAGTACATCTCTGAGATATTCACGAAAAAGTACAGGCTAAGCAACCTTCGCGAGCCTGCGTCAGTGATTGATTTCAAGGATCTGTATACGATCTTGGAAACGCACTGGGAGCGGTCGGACTTGTTCTTCAAAAACGACCGTATGCGTCTGCAGTTCCCTTTGGGGATCTTGATCCACGCCTATACGGCGACTCGGCCAGGTGCTATCCTGTACGGCCCATCTCACGTGCCAGGTGAAGAACCGGAGCCGTGGTATACGGAATTCAACCTTACCGACCTGAGTGAGCTACGCTGCCTATGCTAGAAGCACATCACGATCAAGCTAGTAAAGTATGTAGATCCTACCATGAGGGATCTATTCTATATCGACGTCGATCTCCAATGGACTAAAGGAGTCAAGCGGCACGGTAACCGGTGGGTAGTCTTGCGGGTTTAGACCTCTGCGTAGCTTGAGGCTAATGTGCGAGCTGTCCAGGAAAATCTTCATTCTTACAGAGAGCACTGTTCCAATGTTATGTCCCGTGTTCCATATCCTGGGTATTGCAATCATCGATGGCGCGCTGGAAGGAATGATAGACGATGCAAGCTATGACTTTTTAAAAATATTCGACATGGTGGTCCCTTGCCGTTTCTGGTTTTGGGTATCTCTTCCCTTACTCTGACTTCTTCATCTTCTTTCTTTTCTCTAAACTCTCCCCATCTACAACTTTTCGAAAGAATTGCAAAACCTTCTCTCCGTCCGCGTTCCGTTCCCACCCTTCACCTCCTTCGCCCTCCTTGCCTTTCCTTGCGCCTTTTCCTAACGGGCCCCTGTCACTCAATCGTTCTCCCCTTCTCGTTCGCGCATGACTGACACGACTCCGTTCCCAGCTGCGACTAGCCTCTGCCGCAGCAGAAGGGACAGAAGGGGCGGCCGCGACGACCTCGAGGCATTCGAAGACCGGAAGAACGTGTCTATAAGCATCGCGTGCCAAAACCAAGCCGGCTTAGAGAGTAATAGGGATAATTATAGCGGATGACAGGGCAGCAGCCAGCAGGGTTACCGGCCATGGCCAATCTAGAAACTCCACAATCAAGGGTTCCTACTTTGACGAAAGATGGTGGATAATATTTCCGTTTCTATTTTCGCGCTTGATATTATAAATATAGTCAACCAGAGTGGTATAAGACATTGCTTCAAATTCAGAGGGCGTACAACGCCCGTTGGCTACCGGAATGGAAAGGCAGTTAAGATGCTCGCTTTCGACAGTGTCGACAAATGATCTTGGCGTTAGCTCCGCCCTACTTTACAGCCGACAGCTGCTCTCCAGCAGTGGACAGCGGCAAGGCAGGAGTGTTGATTGGCGAGCCTTGCGAATGCATTTGCTAGTTGAGGATTGAGGATGTGTTACGGCACGGTAGCTGGATGCACACAACATACACATAGCCAAAGATATTCTAGATTAAGCTAAAGAAGAGAACAAGAAGGGGAAGTGTCGCAGGCCAAGGCATGAGCTCTAGGAGTCCAAGGCTACAAACTGCATTAATAATCTTGCCGTGACTCTCGTATATCTGTAGCTCTAGGGCCGGGGGACCAGGCATTCAGCTAGAACACACAACTTACACACAACTTACACACAACTAACACACAACAATACAACAACTTCGCTGCTGGAACAACAGCACCTCACTCCCAACCATTTTAGCACATCACGTGCGACAGGAAGCCTTCTTTGTTTACATCGAAGAGGGTTGGACTCTGAATCAACCCTTAACCTAATCAGGCTTGGGCTCTCAGCCTTAGCCAACCAAGGGTTTCAACCCATAACAGGATGAACCTCATCTGCGTACAGACATGAACTCACTCCCAGGTGTTCGCATGCCCATATACACGGCAACATGTGCCAGACGAGAGCAACAACCGGCACCTAGCAAAACTTAGCGTTGCTACTCCAAGCTCATGTCAGGCAGCACTCAACTCATTAGCGGTGTGTCCGCCAACCAGAATTCGCAGGTTGTCGCTGGCACTATCCATGGATCTGTGAACTTTAGGAGCAGCGAAAGTGAGGGTGCTTAGCTGGCTATGGCCTCAAAGCAGCAGGAAGCTGACTAGCAATCTAGACTTGAACGATGTGCTCAACTCCCTCCCTACCGCAAAGGACGCGCCGTTCAATGCATACCAGCGACAACACGACCCGGCCTGCCTTCCCGATACCCGCGTCGACCTCCTCCAAGAGATATACGACTGGGCTGACGGGCAAGATGGGCGCTCTCTTTTCTGGTTGAACGGCTTGGCCGGCACGGGCAAGTCGACAATTGCGCGCACTGTCGCCCGCAGGTACTTCGATGAGAAGCATCTCGGAGCCAGCTTCTTCTTCTCGCGCGGCGGTGGGGATGTTAACCATGCAGGCAAGTTCATCACGAGCATTGCGTGGCAGCTGGCGAACAACATACCCTCTCTTCAACAGCACATTTGCGATGCCATCATAGAGCGCCGCGACATTACGAGTCAGTCCCTCCGTGACCAGTGGCAGCAGCTTATCCTAGGTCCACTATTGAAGTTAGGTGAAAGCGGTAGCCAGTCCTCGTACATACTTATCGTTGATGCGCTCGATGAGTGCGACGGTGATAATAACATCCGGATTATCATACACCTCTTGGCTGAAGCTCGATTGTTAAAGACGGTTCGACTACGAGTCTTACTAACGAGCCGACCTGAGATTCCAATCCGATATGGATTCCGTCAGCTACCGAATGCGAATCTCCAGGATTTTGTACTTCACAGCATATCACCCTCAATCGTAGATCATGACATCTCTGTTTTCTTCGAGTATAATCTTAAACTTATTGGACAGGAGCACTCTCTGGATGACTCCTGGCCAGGCGAAGAGATTATCAAAAGCCTGATCCAGATTGCAGGGGGATTGTTCATTTGGGCCGCAACCGCTTGTCGGTTCATTCAAGAAGGTTATCTCGCAGACGAAAGAGTGCAAATTTTGCTAGAAGGCAGTACCTCTATTCCTGCACCAGAAGAGCATCCAGAAGTACACCTTAATAAGCTCTATACTACCGTCCTAAAGAAATCTATCCGGTCAGGTTACTCAGCAAAGGAGAAGGAAGCATCGTATGGCATGCAAAGGCACATTCTTGGAAGCATCGTTGTTCTCTTCTCTCCGCTCTCTGCCAGCTCGCTTCACAGGCTGCTTAATATCACCAAGCAAAAGATCGATCAGGTGCTCAGGGATCTTTATGCGATTCTAGACGTCCCTAAGGTCGACATATATCCACTTCGCCTGCATCACCCTTCGTTTCGCGACTTTCTTCTCGATAAAAAGAGATGCGGAGATCCAAATTTCTGGGTAGACGAGAAGGAAGCCCACCAAGTGTTAACCAACAGCTGTATCCAGCTTATGTCGTCATCACTCAAGCAAGATATCTGTTGCGTAGATGCCCCCGGCATGCTTGTAGCCAATGTCGAGAGAAGCCGAGTTGAAAAAAGCCTTCCTCCTGAAGTCCAGTACGCATGTCTTTACTGGATCCAGCACCTCCAGAAAAGCGGTGCTCGACTTTGCGATAATGGTCAAGTACATCAATTCTTGCAGGAGCATCTTCTTCACTGGCTCGAGGCTCTTGGATGGATGGGGAAGGTGTCGGAAGGAGCTCATGCTATCGCGTCTATAGAGCTATTTACTTCCGTTAGTATACCTCTAGCACGTCAAGTGCTTTCGCTAATAGTTCGGCTAGTTAAGTAATTGCCCTGGCATTTCAAGCTTTATCCATGATGCGAAGCGGTTCGTCCTCTATAATCGGCCAGCTATCGAGCAGGCTCCTCTTCAG